GATGTCATATTTGAGTCGATCGGCAGTCATAAATAAGCAAGAAAGAACTAAATCTATCCGATCGGTTGTAGATATTAACAGTATATAATCCTTATGTCGATATATACTTAAATCAAATGATTGGGATAGATCGGTCGTCATGCCGAGACAGTATAAACCACTAAGATCGAAATGTATATTAACAAGAAGATTATAAGCGTTCATAACATAGCCGATCAGATAGATCTAGCATGTATCGGCTAATACTCCGATACCACTCAATATTAAGATATTAAAGCAATCAAAATATATCAAACAGGAAGTGTAATATACCTAGATGCAACAAGATCTTAATATAAATGGCAGATCTAGCATGTCAATTAAGCACATAAGATATAAGGCTAAATCAGGTAAGATCGGCTGAAACCCCGATACTACCCTAATCGGCAACCAAAGACAGGCTAGAGATTAAGATTCTAATCACGACTTGTAAGGTCAAACTCAATTGATGCAGCTATAAGTATGAGAAGAAGGACAATATATAGACAATCAAGCCGTTGAATGTTTCATAGGGTAGTAGATATCCTATATAATCTAAGTCAACATTGATATTTAACCTGATCGGCTGCCTTCCAATGATAGAAGTTAGCCGATTGAAAGTTTAGTAGCAATATTGTCGAAGATTTTATAAGATATATGATAACTCGACGAATTACATAAACAAGATTAGAGTATCATAAAGATGGAAGCACTAATCCCGAGAACGCAAGCCGCCATAACAAGTTTTACCTCTAGTTGAAGATCGAAACCGATGCAACTCAACACGAAAGCAAGAACTTGTCGAAAGTAAACGAAAGTAAAAAGGTGGCGATGCGCCGAGATTTTATTGAACGTGTGTTCTTTGATTACATGGGTTCGGGTCATATTTATACCCGAGATACATAATATGTCCTTGTCGGACACGACTCTTATCTCTAACAAACTCTAAGATACCATAAGTCTTTGCGGCAGACTTTTGCCCAAACTTATCTCTAAGGAATTTATATAAAATATCCTAATTAATAGATATACAATTGCCATCTCAGGACTCAATCCGTGCATGGCAATCCTCATGAAGCATATTTAACTCAACCCGATAACATGTATCGAGTCACATTGTCGGAATCGGCTTAATCGGCTAACCTTGTCTGACTCGAACTCTGCCGATCCTGATCATAGCCGATTCGAACTTTAGCCGATTCTCACACTGTTTCCGAAACAATCTCTATCTTGGATTCCGCTTCGATTTTATCTTCATCTCCGATACTTGAATTACCAAATTTGGTTGTTAACAATTACCCCCCAATGACGGTTGCGGGGTATTTACTACAATTCCAACCGTTACAACTGTCATTACCAGCCTATAAAGGAGCTTTCATTCTCCATTCCAATACACACCAATTTTGAGCTGAATTACAATTTTTATGTAAACTAGATTAGGAAGAGAGTAAGGAGAAAGAGTCGGAGGAATTCCGGAGTTGTCGGTATTTTTCTTTTTACTTTTTGTACCTTGTTAATTACTCTGTTTTAATAGAAATATTATTTCTTAGTAATTGAGATTAACTTTATGAGAATTATTTCTTAGTTAGTTCCTATTAACATACTGGATTATTGTTCAATATTATTTATAGTAGTTATAAACACCAAAGTAGTAATTAATTGCATAGATGTTGGTATTTCTTAACAACATTACTAGAAATATAATTCCCAGCAATGGCGCAGAAATACTCCTGGTATATTATGGTTACAGAGTTCATCCGCAAGCGCACGGATACACCATTGTAGCATTTCACCCGAGAGTATTCCAAGGGTATCGTATTTATTTAATCTCGTGGGAAGATCATGGTAGAGAGAACCTGACTAATAATTTATATATTACTTGTAATAATCATAGTCTAAGCAGGGGTTAATATAATTCAAGGGTAGAATGACACACAAGTAGGGAGCTACTCATTGTCATACTAAAATATATGAGCTAAATGGAAAGAAAAGAGAAAAAGAATCTATTCATATACTTATAGTATACATAGTCTACATACATCGTAGTTATCTTATATACTAGCTAATACCCTCTATCCGACGCCCTCCTGGTACTTCGAGAAGCCACCCCTGACTGCCAAGTTCCTTACGACAGCCCATCATGACCATACAACCGGGGCTAAATACGGAGGAGTACCCTCCCCAGTAAATTAACTTAGGATTATATACACGCGCGGAGGAATACCCGTACTGAGCTATCACCATCAGCGGCCCACCTCTCATCCGCAGCATATAACCCCAAATAATGATATCCCGTAATATAGACACCACGCCTAAACTACCATATACTACTCTAATATCATCGTCATGACATAGAGTAATTTCATACGCAAACATTATACCCGCACCAAAGCATCTCTCAGATAAGCTAGCAGTATATTCAGTATAACATGAACATAATGTAAAGTTGGCATTCGTATACTCGGAAAGTATTTCAATACCATAAATGTATAAAAAAGAGTATTCTAAATAAAGTATAAAGCTTACAAAAGAGAAAAGGAAAGCTACCAGAGCCATACCCGAACTCTCTTCCGAAGGCTTCCGAACTCCGATTTCTACTCTATTCCTATTTCACTAGTTTGATAACACTAAACTAAACGTGGGAGAATATGAGAAAGGTTTGCTTGAGGTGTGTTAAGAGAGTGAGGAGGTGAAGTCCTTTTATAGCTGCTAATGACGGTTGTGGCAGTTGGAAATATCCTAACTGCCCTGCAACCATCATTGGGGATGAATCCTGGACGTCCATGCAAAACCCCAGGATGGACGGCGCTGATAGGGGTTTGGCCGAATCCCCTGGTTCGGCCGAACCAGGGGCTGGGCCAAACCAGCCCATCCTCGGCTGGCTGCCTCCTCCACTGCTTCTCTCTGTAGACTTGTGAATTTTGGCCCAATTCATCATGTCAATTCTGAGTTCTTGGCCCATTCATACATAAGTCTGATTCTCGACATCGTCCGACTGATTTATCGTCTGAGTTGATGTCGATTCTCCTCCACTTTATGGTTATTCTCTGTAAAAGGTTAGTAAACCAAATACTAGTGGAATATTATCATTCTAACATAGATATGCATTGCAAGCATAACTAGTTCTCCTCTATTTTGGTAATATTGATGGTCGAAACTGATCGCTAACGACCGTCAACAATAGACGCGGTGTCCAGGTGGTTAATTTCCAGTGATTGCTACGTATCCCACAAATCGTTAGAGGTTGGTGTAGTGGTAGTGACAGCCTTCAAGATCACTGCAGTCCTCCCTATCCGGGTACGAAGTAGAGCGCGTTTTGGTAGCAACGAGCAAGCCAACGCCTGAAGTATTCTGATAGGATTAAACAAGCTTTCTGTAGCACTACAAGAAATATGACCTTCTGTGACGAATTCCTTGTGACATCGGAGCTATTCGTTATTAGCACATTCCATTTTATGATGATTAGTATGAGATGGGGTGGCTTAGTGACGAAAAAAAAGGTGTTCGTCGTTAATACCAACTCGAAATCGTCATAAAGTATTTCAATGGGACATTGTAACGAATATTAATTTGTCATAAGGGGCAAAAAGCAAACGTCACAGATTTATATAATGCATTTCTAGACATACATATTAAAGGTTGAAGCAATTTAATCAAGTGAATTAATAAGGAAACTAAAATTTTCCTTTAAAAATCATGGCCGGACATATTTTTGTAATATTCTACATAGTCTAATTTATTCTCTGAAATTTTCCGTGAATTTTCAAAGCTCATTAACTAATTTTAATACCACAAAGTTCATTTAACCTATTAAAATAAATGGAAAATAAATTAAAATCCCTCTTTCTATCTTGGGCCTTTTTCAGCCCAAGTCTTACTCTCTCCCTCCCTTAGCCTGCAGCGCCTCTCTCTCTCCTTGGGCCAGCTTCCCCTTTCCCTCCCTTTTGCTCCTCCCTCCTCTCAAATCAAATATTTTTTCGGTTAGTAAATTATTTCAAATGAAGAAGTTATAAACAACAAAGTTGTATAACTTATCAAGATCTACAACTTTTGTTGTGGTCATTTTGCTATATATGACTTTGTTTCAATAATTTGAAATTGAATTTCAAATTCTGACAACTTCAAACAATATTTTTAAATACTAAGTGATTTCAACTGAAAAGGTCATCAATAACAAAGTTGTATAACTCATCAATATATAAAACTTTTGTTTTGGTCAATTTGCTATATGACTTTGTTTCAATAATTTGAATTTGAATTTCAAATTATGACAACTTCAAACAATATTTTCAAATACTAAATGATTTCAGCTGAAAAAGTCATCAACAACAAAGTTGTATAACTCATCGATATCTATAACTTTTATTTTGGTCATTTATTCATCCGACAAAATAGTAGTAATATTGTTCACAAAATTTACACATCTCTTATATGGTTTTACAAACTATAAGAGAGATGTAAATTTTGTGAACAATGTTATTACCACTTTGTCGGATGAATAAATGACCAAAATAAAAGTTATATATATTGATGATTTATACAACTTTGTTGGTGATGACTTTTTCATTTGAAGTCGTTCACTAATAAAAAATTCTATTTGAAGTTCTCAAACTTTGAATTTCAAATTTCAAATTATTTAAATATAGTCAGATGGAGAAATGACCAAAATAAAACATTTGCATCTCGATGAGTTGTACAACTTTGATTTTGGTGACTTTTTCATTTGAAATCATTTATTAACCCCAATTTTTGTTCGAAGTTGTTAAATTTTGAAAATTCAAAATTTAAATTGTTCAAATTAACTTACTTGGATAAAGGACCAATACAATAGTTGTAGATCTCGATGAGTCCTACAATTTTGTTGTTTATCATTTTTGCATTTGAAACACCCGTAGTTGAGGCCAAACCTTTTTTAACCTGAAATGACATTTTTATCCATATAATTTTGTGGGAGTACTCTGGATACACCATGGATATGTTAGTAAATTCGCGTCGGATTGCTTCTTATCAGAGCCTGTTCTCCAAACCCTAGCAGACTGCCGCCGCCGCCGCCACTCCATCCACTCTGCCACCGCCGCTGCCGCCACCATCCACTCACCACCGACACCGTTCGTGCGACGCCGCCACCGTCCACTCCGCCGCCGCCATCGTCCTCTTCCGCCACCACCGCCATCGTCCCCTTCCGCCACCACCATCCACTCCTCCAATAGCTCATCTGCCGCCGCCGCGTCGTTCAGCACCGGCGGCGGCGGCCTACCCTCCCCGTTCCCCGACCTTGGCGCCCCCCTCTCCGCCACGAACACCTCCTTCCCGTCGCTCCAGCGCTCGCTCACCTCGGCCGCGGCGAACAAGATGAAGAAGGCGCTCAGGCTGAGGTCGTTGGCGTCGTCCAAGGGTGGAAGCCCTAGGAGCGGCGGCTGCGGTGGGGCGAAGTCGGCGCCGCCGCGGTGGCCGGCGACCGTCGGGGAGTTGACGCGTGTGCAGATGCGGATTTCGGAGCCCGCCGCCACCTCAAGCCGCCGTCCCCGAGCCCGACACATTGCTCAAGGACGAGGTAGGTCGGCAGCCCTCCCTCCCTCTCTCTCGATCGGGATTTGTACTGATTTGGTTGGTTCTGATGCGTGTTGGATTTGTGGTGGCGATGCAGCGGCTCGTGCAGCACCAGCCGACGCAGTACCCGACGTCGTAGAGCTGAGCGTCGCCAAGAACAAGTTCAAGGCCTTCGACCTCGGCGGCCACCAGATCGCCCGCCTCTGTTCTAATTCTACCGCTCTTTCTTTTTTTCCCCCTCTCCTGCTGCAGCTTTTGTGCTACTTGTTGATGGATTTATGATTTTATTCCTTGAGGGACGGATGGGGTGATTTGGGTCGGAAGCAGCTCTTGTTTGATTGGAACAAACTAGGGTTTAGGCATGGGGGACGGATGGGATGATTTGGGTCAGAAGCAGCTCTTGTTTGATTGGAACAAACTAGGTTTAGGCATGGGGGACGGATGGGGTGATTTGGGTCAGAAGCAGCTCTTGTTTGATTGGAACAAACTAGGGTTTAGGCATGGGGAGTATTGGGGATTAGACATGCACCTGGGTTAATGAAGAATCGGGCATCTTACTCGAATCATGGAAATAAATAATCAGTGCTTTCATTCATTATGGATTGGTCGATTCAGATCTTGCAAAATGAATCATCCGATAGGGCAATCGGATATGTTGCTGGTGTTAGTCCTCAGTTTCAGCCATGAGCTCTAGTCTCCAGTATTCAGATCAGTTACAATAAGAGTGGTCACTTTTAGCAAAATTGGTTGGTTCTCTTGTGAACCTTATTTCATACAAGCTAGACAAAAAAGTTGCACAGAGAACTTTTCTCTGGTAAACTTGACCTGTTTGTTTCATCTTAGTCGTATATTACCTTCTGTGTTTAAGCTGGCCTTTTGGCTTTTGCAGTTTATGAAAAAAATGCAAAATTGAGGGTAGGGTCATACTCCAATCCATAAAAAACCAAAAAAGGTACTAAAAAACTAGCTTTTTTGCTTTTTAGTGGTAGTGTATCTAAAAGCAGTGTAGATACAAGCTTTTGCTCCAAATAATATATTCCTAAAATTTTAGTACTGACTACATGGTCCATGATTTATGATTTTGTTTCTAACCATGGAAATAGGGAAAAAAATAGATTAGACTTACACAGTGTGCTGTTTCAAACATGAAAAACTGGATGCATATATCACCTTTTTTTTTTTTTTGCTTACATGGTACAAAAATTGTTTATCTCACGAAATATTGCAAATGCATTTCACAGATTACTTAAGGAAGAACAATTATTCTTAATGATAGTGTCCCTTTAGTCACAATTATGAGATTTAGGCTCTGGTAACACAGAGTAAATTGCCTAACACATGTGTTGCTTCACTCTGTTTGTTTTTTTACCAAACACTTTCTTTTTAACTGAGGATAATGGATGGATTAGGGTGAGAAGGATGACAAGATAATAGCAGTTTGTGCTGATGATCCTGAATACTGCCACTACAATGACATCGGTGAGTTGTCTCCTCACTGCCTCCAAGAGTTCTAATGCTTCTTTGAAGACTTTATCCTCACCCGCATTCATACTCTTGACTAGCCCGCTGCAATTTATTTTCATATGTTTTCCTAGCAAGATCTAATTAGATACTTAGACGAGATTTTGACTTTTCGTATGGTAACTTTGTTACCATACAAAGTTATGACGACTGAAGGATCGTCACTAAATTAATTAATGACAAAACTAAATTAATGACAAAAAAATAAGGTTTCGTCATAGAACGCCATAAGAGACGCATGATAGGTGACGAATGAATTTTCGTCACGCGAGCGTCACAGATTACGAAACGTGACGAAAAATTCAATGTTTGTGATGTAAATGAAGCGTCATCTATTTGTGTCCTAGGATGAACCTGGGTAAGAGTTCAACACATATGTTCTCTATGGAAATCGATACCTTGGAATATCCG